TGTGGTCCAGTCCCTCACTGGGGTGCATACAAGAGGCAAGATGTTTCTCTCTTTCTCTTGTTCCTTCCCTTCCCCTCTCTCTAAAAATAAATATAATCTTTAAAAAATATTTGGATGCAGGTGTTTTTTTTGTGTGTGTAGATGCAGGCTTTCAATTCATTTGGGTAAATACCTAGTAGCGTGATTGCTGGATCACAGGGAAAGAGTATGTTTAACTTTGTGGGAGACGGGTCAACCGCCTCCAAATAGCTCTACCATTCTCCATTCGCATCAAGAGTACCTGCTGCTCTCCAGCCTCATCAGCATTTGGTATTGTCAGTGTTTTTTGATTTCAGCCATTCTAATAGGCATGCACTGTATCTCATTGCTTTACTTTGCAACTTCCTAATGACATATGATGATGAGATTTTTTTTCATATATGCTATCTTTTCAGATTCTTTGCCATTTAACTGAGTTGTTTACTTATTATGATTGTGTTTTAAGTATATTTTAGATAACAGTTCTTTGTTAGACATATATTTTACAATTACTTTCTCCTAGTCTATAGCTCACCTTTTCATTGTTGTAACAGTATCTTTCACAGCACAGGTTTAAATTTCAATAAAACCCAACTTATCAATATTATATTTTCTTTCTTGTATCGTGGTTTTGGTACTGTATCTAAAAACTTATCACCAAACCCAAGTTCACCTACATATTTTCCCTATGTTATCTTCTAGAAGTTTTCTAGTTTTGTATTTTACATGTAGGTGCATGGTACATTTTGAGTTAATTTTTGTGAAACGTGTGGATTCTATGTCTAGGTTCATTTTTTTTTTGCATATGGATGTCCAACAGTTTCAGTACCATTTATTGAAAAGATTATCCTTTCTCCATTGAATTGCCTTTGCTCCTTCATCATGGGTCAGTTGACTGTACTTGTGTGGGTCTATTTATGGGTTCTCTCTTCTGTTTCATTGATTTATGCATCTTTTCTTTCACCAATATCATATTGTATTGATTACTATAGCTTGACAGTAAGCATTGAATTTGGATAATGTGAATTCCCCAATATTGTTCTTCTTTAGTGTTCAGTTTGTAGTCTGGGTCTTCTGCCTTTCCACATTAACTGCAGAATCAGTTTGTTGATAGCCACAGAATAACTTGCTGAGATTTTGAATGGGATTGTAGTTGGGAAAAATCTATCTTGACTATATTGAACCTTCCAATCCCCGAACACAGATTATCTTTCTATTTATTTGAGATCTTTTCAGGTTTTTTAAATATAGATCTTGTACATATTTTGTCAGATTTATTCCTTAGTACTTCCTTTTTCTGGGTACTATGGTAAACAGTATTATGTTTTAATTTCAAATTTCAGTTGTTCATTGCTAGTATATACGAGAGCAATTGACTGTTGTATGTTGACCTTGTGTTCACAACCTTGCTGTAGTTACTTCTCCAGGATTTTTGTTGTTGTTGAATTTTCAATATAGGCAATCATGTCGTCCATGAACAAAGATGGTTTTATTTCTTCCTTCCCAATCTGTGTATCTTTTATTTCCCTTTCCCTCCTTTTTTTGGTCTTATTGTACTAGCCAGGAAGTCCAGTACAAGGTTGAATTGGAGTGGTAAGAGGGAATATTCTTGTCTTCTACCTTATCTTGGGAGGAAAGTATCCAGTTAATGTTAGCTGTAGGTGCTGTAAAAATAAATATTCCTTATCAAGGTGAAGAAGTTTCCCTCTATTTCTATTCTGCAGCAAGTTTTTATATGAATGGGTGTTAGACCTTGTCGAATGCCTTTTCTACATCTATTAATATGATCACATGGTTTTTCTTCTTTAGCCTGTTGGTGTGATTGACCACATAAACTGGTTTCTGTGTCCCGGACCAATCTTACACACCTAGAATAAGACCTACTTGGTGTAGAATTCTTTTTATATGTTGTGTAAGCCAGTTTGCTGATTTTTTGAGAGTTGCACATTTATGTTCATGAGAGATACTGGGCTGCAGTTTCTCTTTCCTGTGATGTCTTCCTCTGGCCTCCACGTTGGTGGGTGTTAGTGTAATGCTGGCCTCAGAGAACGACTTCTGACATGTTCCCTCTGCTTCTCCTTTCTGAAGGAGATTGTGGAGAGCTGGTGTCATTTCTTCCTTAAATGTAGACTTCACGGTGAAACCCTCTGGGCTTGGTGCTTTCTTCTTTGGAAGGTTATCAATCATTGATTCAAGTTTTCAAAATGGGTGTAGGCCTGTTAAGATTATCTCTCTCTCCTGTGTGAGTTTTGGTATAGTTGGTGGCCTACACTTTGCCTATTTTACCAAATAAAGTTATCCAAATTTGTGGGCATAAAATTGTTTACAACATTCCTTTATTTTCTTTTTGTGGCCACAGGATCAGTAATGATGACCCCCTTTTCTAATATTAGTAATCTGTGTTCTCAATCTTATTTCTTGGCTAGCTTGCTAGAGGTTTATTAAATGTCTTGATTTTTACAAAGAACTGCCTTTTGGTTTCATGGAGCTTCTTATTGATGTCACTTGTAATTTTTATTGATTTCTGCCCTAATTTTTATTATTTATTTTCTTTTGATGTGTAGCTTAACTTTTTCTTCTTCCTCTAGTTTCCTGAGACAGATGTTTAGTTTCCTGATTTTAGATCTTTTTTCTTTTCTAAGATACGCATTCTACACTAAAAATTTCCCCCTAAGCACTGCTTTTGCTGCATTCCACAAATTTTGATATGTTTTATTTTCTTTTGCATTTACTTAAAATAGTTAAAATTATTTTTCAGTTTCTTTTGAGTGTTCTTTGACTCATGTGGTATTTAGTATTGTGTTATTTAATGTCCAAATACTTTGGGATTTTTTTCGGCTTTCAGGTATTGATTTCCAGTTTAATTTTGTGGTCTGACAGTGTACACTTGACTCTTCCGCAGCACGGGGGTTGGGGCACCATCCCTCACCCCCTATCCAAAAATCTGCATGGAACTTCAGTTGGCCCTCCCTCTGCAGAAGTGCGTTCCCAGCCTCAGCTGCAGATACTGTTTTTGGTCCACAGTTGTTTGAATCCACAGATACGAAACTTGGGGACATGGAGGACTGACTGTATTTATTGAAAAAGATCTGCACATGAGTGGACCAGTGCAGTACAAACCTGTTTATTCAAGGGCCAACTGTACTTGACTCGATTTCTACTCTTTCAAATTTGTTTTGGTGTGTTTATGGCCTATAATGTGGTCTATATTGGTGAATGTTTCATGTGGGCCTGAGAAGCCTGTGTACTCAGCTGTTGTTGGGTGAATGACTCTATAAAAGTCAACTGAAATCAGTTGATTGATGGTGCCATTCAGGCCGACTATATCCTTACAGTTTTCTGTCTGCTAGATGTATCAACTACTGAAAGAGGATGTTGACATTTCCAAATATAATGGCGGGTTTGTCCATTTCTCCTCACAGTTCATCCATTTGCCTCATACAGTTTGATGTTCTCTTGGTAGGGACATGCACATGAAGCATTGCTATGTCTTTTTGAACAACTGATCCCTTTGGCGTTATGGAATGACCCTCTCTATGCCTGACAATTACCCTTGTTCTGAAGTCTGCTTTGTCTAAAATTAATACAGCTTCATTAGGCTTTATTTTGATTAGTGTTAGCATGACATATCTTCCTCCAAACTTTTACTTTTAACACAGCAGTGTTTTTATATTACCAATAAGTTTCTCCTGAAATGCTATGTTCGGTTTTCTATTTCATGGATAAGGAAACTATGATTAAGATATATTTAAAGACCTTTTTAAAATATGAGAGTATAATCTGTGAGGTTTAATTCTAATCTCGCTCATTAAAAAAGTTGCAATGCAGAGGATGTTTATTTTCGTTAACAAGGTAATAGTGACACGGCAGCGAGTTGATGCATTTGCTTAAAAGACAAACAAAACGAGATTCCTCCCTCCTTCTAAGTAGAATGTACAAAATTGCCTAAACTTAATTATTATGCAGAGCTCAAAAAAATTCCCCTAGACCCTGTGCTACACAGAAAATGATTTTTATGGTGGGTCAAAGGAAAATTAAACACTGTCTAAGCCAGCACCTCACATGTCATGGCAAGTCTTCTTGCCATGGAGACCACTAGCCCGGGCCCCAGACCCACGCAGAGTGGTGAGTGAGGACCTTCTTCCTGGGCAGTGTTTCTCCACAGAGGCCACACTCAAGTCTAAACCATTGATTGTCAAAATGCGGTCCCAGGACCATCTGGGAACTTGGTAGACATGCAAATTACTGATTGGACACCTGTTGAATCAGAAACTCTGGGGATGGGACCTGCGAATCTGACTTAAGAAGCCCTGCAGGTGATGCTGATACACCCGAAGACCTGAGAACCACTGCTCTGAACAGTGCAAATGCAAGGTCTCAGGCCTGACAATGCCCAGCGAATGCCCCTGAGGCCGGGAAGGGGGCGACATTCTAGTGGACATGCTTGGGTGGGACTGGTCTGTGAAAATGCCCCACATGGAAAGTGGGTGAGTTCAGGGCAGTGTTTGCATTGGCACTCTTCCGCGGCTGTGCACACCGCCAGTGGCGCCACAGTGCATTGCCGACGAAACAAGGTTAGATGGCTTCAACCTTTTGTTTCTGGCATCCCTAATTCTCCTTTCCTGGGCCATAGGCAGAAGTTGTTGATGCACGAAAGGAAAACTGGTTTACTTAAACCAGGACTTCTTAACCTGGGCGCCGTGGACGTTTTTGCCGCGAGGAGCGGTCCTGTGCACGCTGAGCGGCACCCCTGGCCTCCAGATGCCAGTAGCAACTGCCGTCCCTCCTCTCCTCCCACGAAGGAGGATAGAAAACTGTTCCCAGATGTTGCCAAATGTCTCCTGGGGCCAAAACTGCACCCAGTGGAGAATCACTGACCTCAAAAAACCATTTTCTTCCAAGTGGTAACAAAAAAAAACAAAGAAAAGCGGGGATGCGGCAGCAAGAGAAGCTGGCTTGCAGCAGGCCCCGGGGCGACTTACGTTGTAGGACCGGCCGTGCCTCTGCCTCCACTGCACCAGCACGATCTGGGCGACGATCAGCGTGGAGAAGAAGATCAAGATCATCTCCACGTGCATGGACTCGTGGCCCCGGTGCATCTTGTACATCCTCTCCTGCTGCAGGCTGGAACCAGCAAAGGGGGTCGTCTGCAAAAGGCCTCAACCTTTGCACATTTAGCAAAAAAAAAAAAAAAAAAAGCATAGGCTGGGCTCATAGGAGGCAATTGGGGATTTCAAAGGCTTCCAAGGGTTTTTAAGTTTTGACTGCAAAGCTTTCCTGGGTTCCTCCCTTTCCCCCAGGCTTGGGGAGAAGGCAGTGGAAAGGGGGAGGCTGAGTTTATCAGCCAAATCAATTCCTCTCAGCCCTCAGCTTTTCCATGTGGTTTTGACCTCAGTCTTGTCCTTTCAAGTAAAGTTATGGGGCAAAAATAAATAAATAAATAAATAAATAAATAAATAAATAAATAAATCACTGATGGGTCCTGGAAAAGCCTGGGTTCCAGTCCTTGAGTGGCCAGTTTATTACCATGTGGCCTTCTGAAAATCAGTGATGGTCTCTGAGCCTCAGTTTCCTCATTTGCAAATTTAAAATAATGGTACCTCTGTACCTCTGTGAAGCATGTGTGCTATTTTATTTGTCCCTAATGGTGGTAATAATAATAATAAGAAGAAGAAGAAGAATTAGGCTGAATCATACAAAATCACTTTTGAAAGTCAAACATTTTAAAATACTGGTAATTTCAAGTAATTTCTAATATTCTCCAGTAAAGGATATCTTGCTGATGGTACCTATGGAGAGAACATTACCCATGGGGCTACAGGAAACTCCTCAGTGAGTTGTATAAATTGCCTTCATTATAAGGACAAAGAAGAGGCTTGAGTATTATCTTAGACAGACACACACATTCAGATGATGGCTGAATGTTCAAGTTTTTAGTTGGACTCTTAGTTTTGCACAACGGTAGAGGAAACCATGAAGACGGTGTCGTGTTGCTCATCTTCCTATAGCAGAAGTGGCTTTGAAGAAAGCCACTTGACCTTGGCTGTAAGTTAAAATCAATGGGGAACTTTTAAAATCGCAGTGCTCAAGCTGTACCCTTCATCTATGAATTAAGTGATCAGTTCAGTGCCCTTATCAATGAAAAACACCATTGCTGGGTGTTATGGGCTGAACTATGTTCCCCACCCTGACCCCAAATTCATATGTTGAAGCCCCATTCCTCAGTGCCTCAGCAGGAGACTGTGTTTGGAGACAGAGACCTTAAAGAGGTAATTAAGGTAAAATGAGGGCCTATGGGTGGGCCCTAATCCAATCTGACTGGAGTCTTCATAAGAAGAGGAGATGAGACGGGAACTCACACAGAGGGAGGACCCTGTGAAGACCTCCTGAGGGGGCAGCCCTCTGTAAGCCGAGGAGAGAGGCCTCAGAAGAAACCAAAAACCACTGACACCTTGACCTTGGACTTCTAGCCTCTAGAACTATGAGAAAGTGAATTCCTGTTGTTTAAGCCCCTCAGGCTGTGGCATTTTGTTATGATAACCCTGGAAAAAGGACACGGATTTCTAGGTGGGGATCTAGGCATTAGTCATTTTTTAGTAAGTTTACCATGTAATTTTAAGATGCAGCCAAGTTTGAGAACCCGTTACTTAGAGGAAGAAAGAGCAGTCCAGTGTCAAGATTAGGGGAGGAAGGGTAAATTATGAACATTGCCAATCAATCACTTTATACATATTGGTTAGCATCATCTTTCATTCCCAACGAGGCATCATCAGCCACAAAATATCCTCAACCTTCCACTTACGGCTGGTTACAGCTGGTTACAGTCGCACTGAGCTAGGTTACCGTCCAGGAAACACTGCAGGATAATATTCTGCGCCACAAATTAGTACCTTTTAAACGCACTTGTTGAATGTGTGAGTTGGATTTTCTCCCTTCACTACTAGCATTTCCACATAGCTACTACTAAAATAAGAGCAGTGTCTCAGAAAAGGGCCCCATCCAAATCCCAGGGGTGCCCCCTGCTGGAGAATGTGCAGAAATGAACCCTGAAAGCCTAGTAAATATTCCTGCTTTCCTTCAGCTTCTTTGGAATGGAATCTTAGAAAGTTAGTGCTAGAAGGTACCAAAGATGTACTGAAACCCTTTATGGATGCTGCACTCCATAAGCATCTTGAGGAAAGTTACATGGTTATTAGTTTCTGTGTTGGAAGCTGAGCTTAGGAGACAAGAAAGATTTCTAGAAGCTCATTAAAATATACTAATTTCTCTGAAGAGATGGAAAGTGAAGAAAAGTAAAAGGGCAGAAGAATTTAGTTATAAGTTTTACAGCCCCAAATTCAAAATAACTATTTAATATTCTATGTAATGAATATAGTTTCAATTTACACCATATAGATAGGAGAGTAAATCTCTTATAAGCTAAAATAGCACTTGCATTAGATATAGAACAAAATATGCTTTATGACATTATTCTGTTTTGTGTCTATATCATAAAAATGCATCTCAAATCGTTAACCTATGTGGAAGTACTACAGAAAGTATATAATAGGTATACAAATGTAATAAGTATTTCCCATTTTGATTAGGAATACATTCATGATTGATTACCATAAAGCAAAAAAGGAGGGACGTTTCATGTTTATTTCATTTTATATGTTGCCCACAGAAGGCCATGACTTCATGATAGGTACCAGAACACAGAGGAAACAGCATGTAAAGAAAACCAGATGTATCTTGTGCCTAAAATAAATACTAAGTTGACACTGCCTTGCTTTGAAGGACATAGAAATCCAACTCTGGGGGTTTGCACAGAGCACCCTGTGGTTCTGGTCTGTACTACCTTCGTGCACACATTGCTGTGCTAACTCACCTTCTCTATCCCGGGAAACTGACAGCTAAAATGATGGCTTTATTTAATTTCACAAGTGGTTAAATGGAAATCTAATTTTTAGTATAACGGCAATAAAAACATATAGTAATCACTTACTTCCACTCATCATCCACAGACAACTTTGTGCGAGAGATCTGCAAAACACAGAGAGAGCAGGATGACTTAGGATGAGGGCCCGAATGAAATGTTTGCTTGTGGAATTCAAACACACACACTAGTGTACGCACCCCCAAACAGCAGTAACTGGGCCACTGTTAATAAACATTTGAGAACCAGAAAGGCACCAATAGGCAGGGAAGGGGGTACCTGGCCGAGCCCTTGCAGACTGGGCTGGAGAGAACAGGGACCGTGCCCTGGAAGGGCTTCTGGATGACCTCCAGGGTACTAGGTGCTGCCTCCCCTTGTCACCCCCCATGTACTACATTTGGCCATTTGAAAGCTAAAAGCCAATCATTGTGCAGTCACCCAGAAATCTGGTTAAAATGCAAATTTTAATTCAGTAGGCCTGGGGTGGGGACCGAGACCCTGCATTTCTCATTGGCTCCCAGGGGACACATTGACTATGGTCCCTGCATCACACAGCTTTGCTACAGCCGGTTAAGGGGAAAGCTTCGAGTCCTGCCTAGGGCTGAGTTTGAAGAGGCACTGTGCCTCCTGAGGGCAGAGGCCAAGGCATCGATGATATCAACCTCATGAGAGAGCAAATGTCAGCTGCAAAAATGACTCTGCCAGTCTCCTGCCCTTCCTGGTGGGCAGCTTTCCATCTGTAACCTCCTTTGGATGGTCTGGGTTTGAGATCAGCAAGAAAGCCACGGAGTTTCCGAACAGCTTCCCCATTGGGGAGAGCAGATCCCAAATGTGCAGTGTGGCCCACGAGGCCCACCGCACCACAACCTAGCTCTCCCTTATCTTTCACAACAAACCTTCTGGAACCCTGGGTTTCTTATCACCCGCTCCTGCCTCTCTCCCCAGTGATCACTTCCCAACGTTTTTTTTTTTTACCTTCAAGCAATCTGGTTTGCTGTCCCCTCCGTCTAGAATTCTCATTCCCGCTCATCACCAGGTGGCCAGATTTCATCCATCCTCCAAGGCCCAGCTCAAAAGCCACGCCCCTCATCAGCCTCGCCCATACCCCCCGCCCCCCGCTGGGAACAATACTTCTTCTTTGATCCTGTTTTAGGGACAGCAACCTCTTCCCACCCTCTGAGTTATTTTTGTCCTGTTTTACTTCCCTCCAGGGCTGTGAGCTCTCAAGAGAAAAGCCCACCTCCAATTGCATCCTCTCCAGCCCCACCTGCAGCACAGCTCCTGGCACCTGGTCAAGGCCTTGGGATTGTCCGGTAAAGGCAAAGCAACACTGGGTTTGATATCACCACCAGCTAGCCCAGCGGTTCTCCGAGCTCAAGCATCAGCACCTCCTGGGAACTAGACTTGCAAAGGATCAGGCCCTATCCTCCAGGGGAGATATTAGGACGCAGAGCCCAGCCTCCTGCGTTTCAAGCAGCCCCTGCAGTGATTCTGGTGTATGCTCCAGTCTGAGAACCACAAGAGTCAAGCCTGACAGTAGACCCATCATCCCTCCAGCTGTCCTCCAATGCCCTTGGCCTTCACCGGGGCCCTGAGGGCTTCTGCCCTGGGAGAGAAGAGGCGAGAGACGCATTGGTAGCAGGGAATAGATGGGGATGTGTGGGTTAAGGGCTGGGTAGTGAGAGAGGGAGAGGAGGAGGAAGGAAGAAAGGTGGGGAAGAGGCGGAGGAAGAAGAGAGGGGGAGGAAGGCAGAGACAAAGAGGTGAGTTCAGCTTCCCCGGGGTGGGGCGGGGTCAGGTGAAGCCATCAGCATCTTCCAGTGGGTCGCTGCCCCTCCACTCAGGGCCGATTACACGGCATGGGGGTGGGGGCTTGGTGACCATTCATTGTGGCCGTTCAGCCCCTGCGTGAGCCTGGGGACCCTGACTAGGTGCCGCCTCGGCCTGTGCCCGGCGCCAGGTACCTGCTCCTGCTGGAGGGGCTCCTCCAGCCCCGCCTCCGCCTTGGGCGCCGACCCCGCGGCCATGCCTCTCCCGCAGCACCGGCTCGGAGGGTCTCCTGGAGTCCGCAGACTGACGCTCCTGGGACGCAGGAGCCACGGTGGGAGCTGAGCCAGCAGCGGCCGGCAAACTGGCGGCTCCGCCCCGGGCTGTGCGGTACTGGCTCCCGCAGCCTCCTGGCGCGCCCGCCCCTGCGCCCTCCGTTCACGCTCTGGCCTCCTCCAGAGGAGGGGAGCTGAAGGTCATCACCACCAGCACGACCGATGAGCCCCTTTGAGTCAAGGGCCTCACTGTAGTAAATCAGTCGTCAGCCCTCACGGCTCAGGAAACGTCCTGGGCGCTGGAGCCAGCCGTGCTGTGACCAGGTGACAGGGCCGGAGGACTGAAGGACAGCTCAGAGGTCAGTAGGTAGAGATGTGGGGAGTTCCGGAGGGAAAAGGAGATGAGAAAGGGAGAGAGAGAGAGAGAGAGAGAGAGAGAGAGAGAGAGAGAGAGAGAGAGAGAGAGAGAGAGAGAGAGAGAGAGAGAGAGAGAGAGAGAGAGAGAGAGAGAGAGAGATCGTTTTCTTCTCAGCGCTCTGCCCCAGAAGCATTTATCGGAAGACAAGTTCAGGCGGTTGTCCAGATGCAGGGAGGCTGAACCTCTGCGCATCCTCGGTGGTCGTGTTCCTTTCCCCGCCCCGCTTCCCTTAGCTGTCCGCAGGGTTAATCGTGTGGAGCACCTCCCTAAAGACAAACCGGGCCCTCCTAAGAGGACCAAGGGAGAGCCTCCGCTGTGGGGGGAGGATGCAGAGTCTCCTGGCCCCTGGCTGCTGTGTCACTTTCACTTAACCCCGGAAACCACCCGCAACTTGCCCTTGGCCTCAAGCTGGAGTCTGGACTTGTGGCTGGGAATACTTTGGAACCCTTGCGTAAGCCTTTAGGAATACTTGGGTCTTAATTTAGGGCCACAGACGAAGAGGGGGCACACAATTAGATAGTCTGACTTAATAAAATGTGGCTAACTTCATCCCGGTTTGTGACGGCTCATTTTACATGGAGCTACCCTTGGGCATTGACCGACAGATGGACACTTCCCTGCCCTTTGGAACTTCCAGTCTAGCAGGGCGTGGTGACAAATGTCAGCACAGTTCATCGTGCTAAGCGCTTCCTACTCCAAGTGCCTTACCTGCGCGACCTCATTCCGCCCTCACAACAACCCCACAGGGCAGATGGTGGGAGTTGTCACCCGTGTTTGCACAGGAGAACACCGAGCACAGAGAGGGCCAGAAGTCTGCCCCAGTTTCGAAGCTGGTAGGTGGTGCCGTGGGAATCCGAGCCCAGACAAGACGGACTCCATGGCCTGGGCTCTTGACCATCAGGAAACCAGCAGAGGCCAGCTCAGGGAGGTCTACGCAAATACTTTTCAACAGTCTGGACTGTGGCCTGAAGGGAATTGGAAGTTGTGACAGAGTAGTAAGCAAGAAATGACATTACTAGACTTGCCTTTTGATTTCAAGGGTGGGGAGGGCTGCTCAACTATGACCCAAGACAGGGAGACCAATTAGAAAGTGATTGCAGTCATTCCAGCGAAAGATGGCAGAGCCCTTGGTGGGTAGTGTATGTCAGTGTGTGCAGGGATGGGGCGAGGGGATGTGGAGAGAGATGGATGGAGCCCAGGGATGCAGATGATAGACTCTGCAAGACTTACCTGACCCTCAGGGGTGGCGCCCGGGCACATGGCCTAAGCAGCCTGGTGTTGGGCACACGGTGTGCCATCCCCGAGAGAGGAAACACTGAAAGAGCAGCCGATCCGGGGAAACAAAGACCATGAGTCCACTGGGTCAGGCTGCCTCCCTACCTGGCCTCTGGCCTGTCTCCATGGGGCACTCTAGCCCAGGAGGATGTCCTGGAGTTCTTCTGTATTCTCTAGTCACAAGAATGCCTTCTATATGTTAAATTATTTATCGCAGAGCAGCTCCCTGCACACTTCCTATCCCCTCCCTGGTTGTCTGTCACTCATTAGTTTTCCCTTTCTTACTGACCCTCTGAGGGCCAGCGAACTGCCTTGGGCCGATGGTGCCACCTAATGGTTGGATCTTGCCGACGTCCTCCTTATTGCTTTACAAATAATCTTTTTCAGGAATTCTTCTTTTCCAATTCACTCCTCTCCTCTTTTCTCATGTCTTTGTAATATTTACAAATAAAAATGTGTATTTGCTCCTTAGGACTACAGCTAAAGTGGGTGACTAAGAACGCCTTCCACCAGGTGCAGCGCTGGTCCCGTGGCGCAGGGCGGAGGAGGGAGAGAGTCTGGACAGCAGGTGGGGCCGTCCTGGGTCAGAGGGATGGCAGTAACAGGTGCAGTGCAAAGTGGTGGTGGTGGGGGGGACTGTCAAATCCAGACCATCTAGCTGATGTGCGTATCCAAGAGCTGGGAGCTCTTGGTGGTGGGGGGGACTGTCAAATCCAGACCATCTAGCTGATGTGCGTATCCAAGAGCTGGGATCTCAGAGATCAGTGGGAGAGAGGCACCCAAAGTTGCGCACGCCAGTGACTCTGGAGGTCAGGGACAGAGTGATGAATGGGAATCATCCCTAAAAGGAGAGTAACACTGAAGCCAGGTCCTACCGTGCTGATGAAATGACTGCATAGACATAATTAGGCTAATTCCCTTTGAGACATCCTCCAACCCTCCCGTCCCCAGTCCTTTCTGGGGGTGAGGCTGACTTTTGAGGTGCTGGCTCTAGCCTCTTAGAACTGGCAGAGCTCGTGCCAGCTGATCTGATTTCCAACTGCCGGTGCCCTTGACCGGTTCTCCCGGGCCCCTCACGTCCCCAGATAGACCTTTCCATCTTCCTTGAATTAAACCCGCCTTTGCTTCAGTGCTAGTTCTCCAGACAAATGAAAGCTACTCAACTGTATTATTTATCTTGTCCTTTAATTATTAGTATTGTACGTTATTGAACTCTACTATTTTTGTTTCAGCTCAAGTGTGCAGTGTTTAGCTCTCTTATGGTTCTTCGGAGTTTTATGAGCTGGCCCGTGGCCCTAGTGACCGTTTATGACCTTGCCTCTTTGGGAAAGCGCATCCTGCCTTTCGAACCACAGCCTTCCATGTGCACGTTTGGAACTCAGTCCACGTGTGAGCTGGGAACTTCCTGTTAATGTCTCTTGGCCCAGGGCAGCCCCACGACCAAATGACATGTGGTTTAAGGTTCAGGTAACAACAGGTTCATTGAAATGTGTTAGGTGGAGCTCAGCTTTCAGGGTCTCCGGTTTCTGGTGAACCTGGAGCAGAGGGGGCGCAGGGTCCCAGCCGTCAGACGGCAGCCTGGACGGGGCTCCCCACTCCCTGTGGAGCCAGGGCACATTCCCGCTTTTCGTGGTTTCAGGACTGAGCGTCTTCTGAGGGCCAGCTTTTCAGCTCTGTTGAACAATCCATCTTGAAAAAGAAGAACTGCTTTTAAAAACCAACTCTGCTTTCAAGGCTGGAAGTTCAGCTAGGGTCATTCCAGTTTATGGAGCGCAGAGGCCCTCTCGGCGGGAGGGAAAACTGCACTTAAGTCCTCCAAGGGGCCCCTTCCCCTGTCCCTCCTCTCCTTGTTTTCCTTCTCTGGTGCCTCCTCTTAGAAGGCCCATCTTCACTCTGCTAGACAGCCTGTCCCAGGCAAGCCAGTCTGCACTGTGCTACCTAGAAAGAAGTTAATATTTATTAAATACCTACAGTGCCAACCACCAGGCTAAGCACTTCATGTGTCTGATGTCATTTAATTCTCAAAATGACTCGAGTGACAAGTATCACTGTCCACTATTTTAAGAGGAAGGCATTTAAGTCAGAAGGGGTTAACCGGTTCAGTCGAAGAAAGCACAGCAGCTCTACTGCCCCCCAAGCTCTGGGGTGTGTGGCAGGCCCACTGCTTCACGGGGGCACCCCCAGGAACCCCCATCTTGCTGTAGAAGTTGTGTTTGTCATTTCCAGCTAAGACCAAGGCCTTGCCACCGTAATTGCTACACTTCAGGTTCCTTGAGGAGATCACTGTTCCACCTCTGTTCCACAAAAGTCACAATCTCACACACACACGAATACTAATGTTTCTATTTCTCTTGACTTTAGATATTTGTCCTACTTGGGGGCTTGAAACAAGATCGGTTACAGAGGCAATGACAAAAGGACTTGGCTCCTTTTTGCCGGATTTCAAAGCCTTCTAGTGTATGCTTCTGGCCTTACTTACTGCGCCCCCTGTCGTGATAATAGCTAAAACTTGTTATCATGCCTACTACTGCCAGGCACTGTACATGGACTCAATCCTCAAAACTACTGGAGGCATTAGGGGTGCTATTTTTATCTTCACTTACAGTTAAGGACAAACAAGGACCTGGGCCCTCCCCTCTGCCTCTGACACCCTCTGCTTTCCTCACTTTAATCTGCAGAAGTCCCTGTTCTCTCACGAGGCTTCCCAGATCCCCCGTGGGCATCCATGTCACTCAACCCTCTGCTCCCGCAGGCTTTTGCATTTGCAGCTAGTCCAGATAGCCTTCTGTTTGAGGTGCTGGTGCACACGTCTGTCTCAGCCACCACTGCAGGTGCCTGGAGAGCAGGGACTCTATTCCAGCCAGTGCCTCTAGCACAGCGCCTGGCCTGGAGCCACACCTAACTGGTGGTGCGGCCACATTTCTAGGTCATCACACTTCTGCCCCAGGCCTCTCCCAGCCTCAGGAGGGAGGGTGAGGACAGCTGGCTTCCACAACTTATTCCATCTCCTGCAGAGGTTCCTCCAGGAAGGAGAGGGGGCTCTTGTCTCTGTGGCCACAGACTTTCCCATCCTACCCATGACAGGACCGCTGAGAACTCTGCGCACCCATAAGGACTTAAGAAGTCTAAATTGTGCCCTTAACATTTTCCATGCAGTTCAGAATGTGCGCACACTACTTCTTGTTTCATAGCTCGGCGTCGTTCACCAGGGCAGGGACGTGTTTCTGTCATCACTTGGAGATGCTGAGATGCAGCTGGGAGCAGAAAGCAGCGGAAAGGGCGAGGCCTGAGTCTGGTCCATGCTACCTGTTCTCTTAACCCTT